AGTTGGTTAAGCGACTGCCTTCGGCTCAGGTCATGATCCTGGAGTCCCGGGATCGAGTCCCACATCGGGCTCCCTGCTCAGCAGGGAGTCTGCTTCTCTCTCTGACCCTCCTCCCTCTCATGCTCTCTGTCTCTCATTGTCTCTCTCGCAAATAAATAAAATCTTAAAAAAAAAGAATGTGTGCGGTGCTCTCACGGGAGGCCGAAGTATTCTCCAAAGGTCAGTCCTGCTGGCTGATGGGTGATGGTCAGTCCTTCTGTGTCCTGGCTGATTCTGTCAGTGGTCCATGGATCACTGTTTAGAGAGTCATCACTCCAGTAATAACTGCGGACTTGTACACTTGTTCCAGCTCTGCCCTGCTTCATGCATTCTGTAGCTCTTGTGGGTGCACACACATTCAGTCATTCTGTCTTCATTGGGTAACGTCCCGCCTTGTCCCTGGGAACTCTGAAATCTGAAGCTCTGAAATCTACTTTTTCTTATGCTACTCTATCTACTCCATCTTCATTCTGACTAGTGCTTTTGTGGTATATCTTTTCCCATCCTTTCATTTTAACCTACGTATTTTACATGTGAAGTGAGTTTCTTTTAGACAACACATATTTGGGTCTTTTTAATTTTTTCACCCATTCTGACAATCTGTCAGGATTAGGCATTCAGACACACAACTGGTGTGTTCAGACCATTTATATTACCATAATTACTGATATGTTTCAGTTTATCATCTTGTCTGTTTTACGTTTTTCCTTCCTCTATTTGCTCTTTCCTGCCTTGATTTATTTTTTGAACTTTTTAGAATTTCATTTTAATTTGCTGTGTTTTTTACTCTTTGTATAATTTGGTGGTCGATCTAGGGATTATAACGCATATTTCATTTTTTTACACTCTTACCACCATATATATCCCTCTATGTGACACCTACAGACATTGAAAACCAGACGACGGTCTCATCCTTGCTGTCAGTAGGACATGTTTTAAAGAGCTCACTAAGACAACAGGGGTCCACTGTACCTACCTAGACCCTCACCGTTCTCCTGCTCTTCCTTCCAAATGTTCCAAGTCTCCTTCAGGTGTAATGACCTTTCCGTCTGAAAAACTTCCTTTAGCAACTCACTGAGTTAGATCTGCTGGGAACAAATTCTCCCACTGTTCCTTCATCTGAGAGCCCTGTATTTCACCTTCACCCTTGCAGGGTATCATGCCCGACAGAATTTGGGACTGAGGGCTCTTTTCTTCCAGTACATTAAAAATGGGTTTCCAATGCGAAAAATCATTCAAATTGTCGTTCCCCAATAGGTAATGCATTTTCTCTGGCTGCTTGTCAGATACTTTTTGTCTTTATTTTCAGCAGTTTGATTATGATGTGTCTGGGCATGGGCCTCTGTGGCTTCCTCCCGTCTGGAGTTCACTGAGCCCCCCTCTCCCTAAATCTGTAAGTTTAGATCTTTTGTCGGATTTAGGACGTATTCAGACATTATTTGTCCAATATTTTTTTCTGCACCCCATCTTTCTCCTCTCCTTCTGAAACCCCAAGAGCACAAACATTTGACCTGTTAGTACTGCCCCACGTGTCCCTAAGGCTCTGTTCATTTTTCCTCCAATCTTTTTGCTCTGTATTGTTCAGATGGAATGGTTTCTATGGACCTGTCTCAAAGTTTACGCACTCTTTCTGCTATCATCTTCATTCTGCTACTGAGGCTATCCAGTTAGCTTTTTATTGTTACTGTTACTTTTCATTAAAAAGTTCTGTGTAGGGGCTCCTGGGTGGTTCAGTTGGTTAAGCATCTGACTCTTGATTTTGGTTCAGGTCATGATCTCAGGGTCGTGAGCTCGAGCCCTGTGTCGGGCTCCACGCTGGGCATGGGGCCTGCTTGAGATTCTCTGTCTCTCCCTCTGTCTCCCCTCACCCACCCAGCTCTCTCAAAAAAAAAAAAAAGTTTCACATAGTTCCTCCTTCTATTTTCTAATTCTTTACTGATACTTTCTACCTTCCTATTTCAAGAACGTTCCCCCTTATTTATTGGAGCATTTTTATAATGGCTGCTTTAGAGTCTTTGCTGGATAATTCACCAGTACCTGTGTTATCTTGGTACTGGTATCTGTTAATTACCTTTTCCCACGGAAGTTGAGATTTTCCTAGTATGTCTGAATGGCATCCTAGACATCTTGACTGCTGTGTTACAAGACTCGGGGGTCTTGTCTAAACCCTTTGGAGAATGTTGACATTTTTATTTTAATAGACAATTGATTTGGTTGGATTCCAGCCCCATGTTCCAAATAGCCTTCTGTGGGTTATGGCTCCAAAGTCAGCTGACTTTGCAAAGCCTTCACAGCATCTGTTGACTATACCCCCCATGTGCACTGCCCAGTGGCCAGCATGGGTGCTGGTCTACTCCCAAAGTCCAGTTTTCAAGTCTACTGTTGCTAGTTAGGGTCAGATCCATGTATCCACAACTTGAGAGTCAGCCTCGGAGTTCATAACAACCTTAAAGGTCACTTTCCTGAGCTCTTCCTCTCCACAATGTCTCCAGAACTTGCAGATTTCCTGGGTCACCACTTTTCTGGTTCTCTAGCCAGACACACACCTCCCACAACCTTGGGCCAAGTGGTAGGAGGAGAGAGAATAGGGCATCAGGGGTCTGCCCCACCTTCTTGGGAATAAACCTCCTCTAATCAGTTCCCCTTCCTTAGAGTTTCAGGCTCCTGCTGGCCCGTTTCTGCTGCCAGGAGACTGCATGGGTGCTAGGGAATGAGAAAACAGAGAAAAGAAAAAAATGAAAAGTAGGGTTTCTGCATTCTCTCTGAGTGTGAGAGTACCACTCCTCAGCACGAACTAGAAAGACTTTCCTAGTGCTCTCCAACACCCATCTAACCCATCTCTAATACCTAGTGCTCATTAACACCCATGTCTGGGTTTTAGGATACCTTGAGTTTGGCCTGGGGAATATCAGAGGGGAAAAATGGTAAAGTCAATCAACTCAGAGGTATTCTGAATTGTGGTATTTTTCCCCCCAGTCCACCTGCCAGTTTGATAGCTGTATTCATCAGGAGACAGGTTAGAGTATGCTTACTCCTTACCCAGAACTGGGAACTGCTCTGTTCTGTAAACTGGTTCAAACCCATTTTGAAGATGAAGGAAGTTTTCTCGTTGTTTTAGAATTACCTGCAGGCCCATCACCAGCCACCTGCACTGACCATCCAGGCTTGTCTTTTCTGCATTTTTTGATGATTTATGCTTTTCTGATTACCCAGACTTCACAGAACCCAGAGGTGAGAAGAATGAATACCACTTCAGGCTGTTCTGGATTTGCCTTCTTCTGGGATTCTCTCTTTCATATCTAAGAGCTGACTGGAAATTCCAGAAGGCCGTCCAACACGTTCCAGGTTATACAAACACATGTATGCTTCTTGGCTCACGGGACATGTTTTATCCAGGACAAGGAAGCCCGCAAGCCCGTACTCCCTACAGTGGTCCCTGCCCGTCAGCAGCTGCGCTGGGGTGTCAACAGCACACTGCCTGAATCCCTCAAGTCCATGTACCCAGTGTTATGTCTAAAAGATTCACAAACTCTGCTCTGAAGCATCCCCCAAATGTGTGCAGTCCTGAGCTCCTCCCACATCTCCTCAAATTACATAGACTCACCTTTACTTTTTAAGTGGTCTTTTCTTCAAAAAAATAAAAATAAAAAGACAGTGCATGAGAAAATTACTGAAAGGAACAATACCAAAATGCAAACAGTGGTTCTTTCAGGGCAATAAGACGCCAAGTGTTTTCTTTCTCTTAATTTGCTAACGTCTTCTACGTCTTCTACCAATTAATATAACCAGGATAATTAAGTATTGCTAATTTATCTTTACAAATCCACCCCCCGTTTCCAATAGTTCGAGCAACTGAGGAACAGTAAACCACAACTACCTCACACCAGGCGATGGCAGTGAGATCTTTTAATAAGACTTCATCCTCACAATATCACCGGAGCATCGAAATTCCCCAGCAAATCACTGCTTCCCAAACCAGGCTGCACATCAAAGTCATGGACAGAACGCAGACATAAACAAAACGCCAGTCAGCCTGGAAGGAGGATGTGAGAAGAGAGAAGTCAAGAACAACTCTCAAGTTTCAGACCTGAAGAAGAAGGCTAAGTCCATCGCCTTCCAAAATGGGGAAACATGCAAAAGGAAGAGGCCCAACGGTATGGAAAAAAACAAAGTAAGAGTCAGACAGGAAGTGGCTGGAGGACACCCAGTGGAGCACCCAGCCGAAATCTACAGTTCAGGGATGAGGTCCTGGCTGGGAACAAATGTGGGGGCGGCCAGTGGAGCCTCGAGTCCAGCTGAGGTCTCCTAGGGGGTGACCACAGACAGAGAAGCACCTGAGAGGCACTCTAAAATCTAGAGGGCACCCCGCAGAGGAGAGTGTGGTGACCTGGAAGTCAAGGTCAGAAAGGCTCGCAAGGAGCACAGGAGAGGCTGATAAGACGTGGGCCGAGGAATGCCCCTTGGACTTGGGAATGGGCGGTCACCTGAAAAAACCAGTGGTGCAGAAACTCTAGGATGGCCACACGCCACCTGCCTTCACAAGGCTTATCACAGCTGCAATTACCTAGAGTTCTGGTGCTTTAATCTCTGCCCCCGATCTACGGTAAGGTCCAACGAAGGCAGGGGCCACATAAGTCTTGCCCTTCACTGTAATCCCAGGACAGACCCCCACAGTGGCTCAAATCTGTGGAACACAGGACTGTGGAATCCAAGAAGGAAGGTTCCTCTTTCTTCACAAGGAAAAGGGTGTGCTGCCCCGATGGGCCAATGTGGCCAGAGCCCTGGCGCATACAAACCCGATGACAGGAGACCCGAAGACAGCTGTCTTCAAATGCGTTCTCCCTGTCTTTATTCTCGGGGA